TGAAGAGCAACCTCGAAAATCTGGCAGCGAGATGCACGGGCGCTATGGCAGGATTACCAGGCCCAGGCAATGCCAAGGACTCGAGTAGAGGCAAATCGCTGGTACCGGAAAGGACTCCGACTGGCAAAGAGAGGAAGTTGCCGACCATCACGAGTATGACGGTGGTCAAGGAGGCAACGAGAGGAAAGACCGTTCGCAAGGCCACCCAGGGCAACGCGGGGACGGAAATTAGGAGCGCGACACAGCCTCTACCACAGAGGCAACCTAGAGGAGGATTACTACCAGATAGCGGTGGCACCTCGTGGACGGAAGTCGTGAAGAAAGGGAGAAAGAAGAAAGACATCAAGTCAGCCTCCAACCCGCACCGGCGCCCGCTGGCCCTAAGCGAGCACCCAATGCGGGGACGACACCCGAGGCCGGGACGACCGGTAAGGGAAAAGGTAGAAGCGATACGCGGAGGGATGCGCCGGTCCGGAACAACGGTAAGAAGAGAAGGACTCCGAAGACGGCGGCCGTATCGTTGACATTCCCGAAGGGAACTTACGAGGAAGGACTGCGGGTAGTCAGGTCCAAGGTGAACTTGGAGGACATTGGCATCGAAGAGGTAAGACCCAGAAGGGGACTCACGGGTGCACTGATCCTCGAAATCCCCGGGGAGAATGCGCACGCCAAGGCGGAAACTCTGGTCCAGAAGATCAGAGAAGTGGTCGGGAACGCGGAGGGTGTAAGGGTTACGCGTCCCGTAAAAATGGCGGAGCTTCGGATCAGAGATTTGGATGACTCCATCAATCAAGAGGAGGTAAGAGGAGCGGTAGAGAGAGCGGGTCTGTGCTCGGGCCAGGAAATCAAGGTGGGCCCAATCAGGAGGGCCACCAACGGCCTCGGGACGGTGTGGACCCAGTGCCCACTTGACGCGGCGAAGCGGGTGGCAGAGCTCGGCCGTTTGAGGATCGGGTGGATTGCGGCACGGGTGGAACTGCTCGAAGCAAGGCCACTCATCTGTTACAAGTGCCTCGAGCGTGGTCACGTTCGGGCACAGTGCAGGAATAAGGAGGACCGCACAAACACCTGTTACAGGTGCGGAGAGGAAGGCCACAAGTCTGCCGGATGCTCTGCCAAACCGAGATGTGTGGTGTGCAGGGACAGGGAACTGCCCGATGCACATAAGGCAGGAGGAAACGCCTGCCCGCCAATATCAAAAAGAGCGATAAAGAAGAAGAGACAGGAGGAGAAGCGGTCAGCAATTCGGACGCAGGAACCGCGTCTGCAAAAAGAGGACCTGGCTGCGACGAATCTAATAGACCTGTCTATGGACGTCGACGAAGGCAAGGAGGAGTCCCTGGACTGGGACCACTCGGACACGCCAGTGGAACTCAGGAGGGGAAGCCTTGAACACGGGACGCAGAGATAGGATGATCTGGCCGTGGACATAGATGCAAGTGGCTCGGAGGAAGCTACAAGGACGGCGCCTTCACTCGCTTAAAGGTGCTCCAGGCGAACCTCAATCGCGCCCGTCAGGCGCAGGATCTGTTTCTGCACACCCTGGCGGAGCGTGATTGTGGTATTGGAAATAATGGCAGAACCGTTTAACGTGCTCAACAACCCCAACTGGGCTGGGAGCGCGGACGGATCGGTAGCCATTACTTGGCGAAGGACGGGGCAACGACACGTTCCCTGGTCCAAAGCCAAGGAGGGGGAAGGATGGGTCCTGGTGGACTGTGACGCGTTTCTCATCATGGGCGTGTACCTACGGCCCAGCCTCAGCAGAATGGAGCTGGAAGACAGGCTGGATGAAATGGAGGGCGAACTTAGAGGAGTCGTCCCCAGGCCTGTTCTGGTCGCCGGGGACTTCAACGCGAAGTCCGCGGATTGGGGTTCCCGGCGGCCAGACGCGAAGGGGGCGAGGTTGCTGCGTGGGCGGCTCGTCTGGGCCTTAAGCTAGAAAACCGCGGCAACACAAGTACCTGCGTGAGGGTCCAGGGAGAATCCATAGTGGATCTTGCCTGGACATCTCCGGCTGCTGCGGTATGGACGGAGGACTGGAGAGTTATTGAGGAGGTGGAAACCCTATCGGACCACCTCTTCATCGAGATGTCCTTCGTCAGGCCTATCGCGAAAGGGATGGCAGACCTGCAGGCCTGTTCGCGCATTAGATGGGCTGTGGACAAGCTGGACCGCGACATGTTACTCGCAACATTGATGGCGGCTACTTGGACGCAAGCGGATACACCGCGAGACATTGAGGAGGAGGCCAAGTGGTTGAGGGAGACCTTGACCCGGGCATGTGACAGCTCGATGGCCAGGGTCAAATTCACTCCCCGTAGGTGCGCGTACTGGTGGTCTGATGAGATAGCCGGGCTGAGGCGGACATCGGTACAGCATAGGAGAACCCTGCAGAGGGAGAGAAGGAGGCCAATCACGCGCGAACGCCTGGAGACACTCCTTACGAACTATAGGGAGAGCCGGGCTGCCCTAAAGCGGGCAATACGAAAGGCCAAAGAAGGAGCTTGTCCGAACTTCTAAACACTTTGGACGAGGACCCTTGTGGAAGGCCCTATAAATTGGTGCTGAAGAAGCTCTCGAGTGGTGCCCCACCCACGGTGGAGTCACTAAAGGTGGACTTTCTCAACCTGGTGGTGAACACCTTGTTCCCGGCAGGTGGACGAGGAAGGACCGACGCTGACGAATCCGAAGAACCGGAGGAAGAGGAGGCACACCAGGAGTGGAACGAGGGGATGGTGGTAACCAAAGAAGAGGTCGCCAGGGCGGCTAAAAAACTAAAGCCCAGAAAAGCCCCGGGCCCGGACGGCGTCCCAGGCTCAGTCTGGCGGATTGCCCTCGGAGAGCTAACAGACAGGGTTACAGCGCTATACTCAGAGTGTATAAGGCAACAGAAGTTTCCGGAAATATGGAAGCAGTCAAGCCTCGTGTTGCTGCGCAAGGAGGGCAAACCGGAGGATACGCCCAACGGTTACAGGCCGATTTGTTTATTGGACGAGGTTGGCAAGACGCTTGAGTGCGTCATAGCTGCCCGCCTGGTCCAACACATGAAGGGCTCGGAGCATTGCCTGTCGGAAAGGCAGTTTGGGTTCCGGGAGGGAAAATCGACGATCGACGCGATCAAATGCGTCAAGTCCCTCTCGGACCAGGTGATCGA